GTGCTTTATAAGCTCAAAACCCAATCATTTAAACTGTTTTTTGTTATTTCTGCCACTTAGGCATCTTTTCAAAACGTTGCTCACAATGACAGCATCTTGTGTCATGAAGAATTTTTAACCCATTGCTCTGTATCTTTTCACATATCTGCTAGTCACCTTTTGCCCTTCTACTTTCTCTTTCTGTGTAGGCTTTTCTTCAGGTTCAATTTATCTCTTTGTTAAACTAAGCATTTGCTGAAAATAAGAATGCAAAATACTGACCAATGTCTAACTTACACAAATGCTGAATATATAATATATATCTTTGTGCATGGTTTGCACGTGAAGGTACTACTGCATATCTGGACAGGCCTGGAAATTGTCTCCTACAGAAAAGAAAAAATTATTTGTCTAGGTATAAAATACATCGGGCCTAGACACTGAGGATTATGCAGAACAACTAGGTAGTACCTATCTCCTTGGAAAAATAAGAAGAAATCTATGTCTGAGTTATAAATGGGCCTGGAACAGATCTACTAATCATTTCTAAATGCCTGCTGCTGGTGGTAAAGAAGGGACAACTGGCACTAGAAGCAACTGCTTCAGCCCTTCACTGGTACTGACTTCACAAAAATAACGGAAAGTCTCTCAAATTACCTATTATACGTTTTTCTCTCCAAATTACTGTTTGCCTTAGATGAAATTGCAATGAGTAGTAGATAAAAAGAGAAACTGTTAACAGAAGCAACATTCCCAAACTACTAGGTCATCTTATTTTTTTAGGAAAGAATTAAAACCATGTTTAATTCTTTATAGACATTTCACCAACTAATCTTGAAAGACAACAAAGGAGAAACGGGGAAGGAAGAAGAGAGAGAAGGGGAGGAAATGGAGGTTAAGAGAATAGAGAAACAATTGAGAAACAAAAATGTAACCCAGATTAGAGAAGCAAGAAAGCAATCAATAGAAGAATGATTGGTGGCAATTATCAAATATCATTACAGACATCAGGCCAAATTCAATAAAAAGTGGGTGACATTCAATGGTGCATGTCGCTGTTGTGATATATGCACCAATACTGTAATGGTGATATTCCCTTGCAAGAAAGAAAATGCAAATATATAAATGGTCTAAATTTTACAGAAACTTGCAAATGAAGTATCAAAGTTTTCAAAATATCGTGAATGTACAAAAAACTTAATCACGTTGGGCTGATCAGATATAGAAAGGCTACCATTTCTAGAACTGTTCTTTCTAGAAGAAAGTAAACAATAATAAACTTTGGGCTGATGTAAAGCATTTAGTTTGTTTTCAGTTTATGTGAGATTTCTCCCTTTCTACCAGATAAATTTCAAATAATCCCCCTCTTAAATGCACGTATCAAAAGATTTTATTTCTGAATAACCAAAACAAAGTTTCAGTAAATCTGCAGTAAAAGATTATGTTGCAAAATTTAAGTTGCAGTTTTTAAACCAATCTGATCGCAATTTCTAACTACTCTTGATTCCCCAGATGCATTTCCAGTTAATGAACATTTTTTTTTTTGAGAAATGTCACTCACCTTTAGACTTGTCAATTGTAATTTAGAGGTAAATTAAATCAAATATTTTACAGACAGAATTTGAATATGATTACCCTCTGTCACCATCTCAACATGATCTTGTCAGGGAAAGTTTCAAAACAGAGTGCTGAATTAAACTGGTGCAAGTCAGAAAAAAAATATCCTGAAATTAAAATTAAACTAACAACTCAGTTATTAGGTCAGAATTTTACTGCAAATATTCCCAACATTTGCAGGTTTAACTGCACATTTACTGCACCTGTATGTTAGATGTATAATTTGACAGGGTTTTACAAAGTCATCAGTAATCTAAGCTCTCGGCTCCCTAGTCCAGGACTGGTCAGCCATCACAAATCCTCAGTCAAATGCCTCAGTAAATCTGCTGAGTATTTCCTGAGGCCTCAAACAAGAGTGAAAGCTAAGGAGTAGAAAGTGCTATTCAAGGTCAGGCATTCTTCCCTGGTTACAACTGGCCAAGTAACCAAGTACCAGAAAAACTGCCTGAAAAGCCCTAAAGAAATTCAGTGTATTCCTAGGCTTGACTTTAAAAGGTAAGCCAATTTAACAGCCAACTAAAGTATTTCTATATGGTTATGAAGCAATCTACAAAAACATATGATAGGAATAAAATTTTCTATTACATTCAGCAGTATGTCCTGAAAACTTTACCAAAAAAAATATTCCTCTCTTATAAAATTCCACAGACGCTCTCCATAAAAGAGAGCAAAACCTCTGAGAACAGCATGTCCAGAGAGGTAAAACCATCTCGGTCTCCTGCCATTTTCCCCCTACAGCAGAGCACTGGGCACAGCTGTCTGTCTCTGCTTTGTATGTTCAAATTTGAGGCCACTGACAGAACTGTCAGTGCCATTTCTCTGGGGTCTGCCCTTCCAAGCAATAATCCTCACGCACGCTCAGTGTTAATGCTGGTTAAACCTCTGAAGTTTTAGAAATGCCCTTCACATAAGTATTCAAGAATACACAGGCTTATCTGAACAATAGCCAAAATACATCTCGATCTAGATACCACAGGATTTGGCCAGGGTGGAAATGCTGAGGGAGTAATCTCGTGGACACTATTTCAATGCTTTTCTTAGGGGAAGAAACCAAGAAAAAGCAGAGATGCGGGGAATATTTCCAGATCCTTTTTGTAACCAGAACTATGATACTTGTCACATATCAATTATTTCTAACTACTCACTGCCTGTTCTTTTTAAAAGAAATTAAAGTTGACAGGAGTAATTGTGGGAAGGTTATCCAAGTGTTGCTAAAAGAGAACAACTGAATGGTACACCATGCTTAAAGTAGGATCATTAAAGGACAAAGATTTAGGAACCCCTATTGCATATAAAATATAAGAGTAATTACACAGAAGGATTTTACTCTGGAAATAAGAAAATTAGCAATGGTGGGGAAGAAATCCAATAAATGAGTGACCCTAAAAGAGAACATGCATTCTTGTCTTTGATGCTTTGATTAGTAAATATCCAATGTGCAGCAAGGTATTAACCAGATGCTAGTAAACAGAGAAAATCTAAGAAAATCTAAGAAAACAGAGCACATTCCTAGCCTGAAATATTAGAGTTTGCATCTTTACAATCCTTCCTCCTTCGTAGATTATACCATGACAACAGCCCTGTAGTTGACTGTGAATAGCAATAAGGAATGATGTCTCCCAGCAATGAAAACCAGTTTTTAAACGTTCATACTATAAACACACTAACCACACCCTGCCTTTAGGTCACAGGGATAGCATTGTGCTTAATACGAGCCACTCTACTAGCAGCAAATGAACTACGTATGTTGCAATAAGCTGACGCCCTGAGGCCATAGGCATAGTGGTGGCTTGTTGGCTTTAACTTTATATTCTCTTGTTTATTGATTTGAACTGAAGGAAGCATAGAACAGTGGAGATAATAGCTAAGATGGCATTTACTATTTAAACAGCGATTTAGAGGTCTTTAAAATATGGATTGTTGACCTTATTGAGGGTTTATTATTATCTCCTACATATAAACCTTTGTTTTTCAAGCTTTGTAGACAATGACCTGAGTCTACCACTTGAAACACTTCTTGGGCACTTGTTCCTCAGCAGATTCCTAACACGACAAACCATAATGGCTCCTAAGTAGATGTCTCCATTTCTTGAGACATGACATAAGAGACTGCAATGAACCTCTGGAGACTTCTGAAAACTCTCGTAGCAAATGTGGCTGCCACATTGGCACTTTCAGCCCAAAAAGCTAAAAATATTTTGGAGCACTGCTATTGGAATAGTGTACAGTAGGCACTTTGCTGGAGGAAGAAATTTCTATGCTTTCAATATGCCTTTCTGTTTTAGGAGCTCGCCAATCGTGCTAAAGTATATATGTCACAAGCTAATCGTCTGAAAAGTATCAGCTAGCAAAATCAAGTAGTAACAAACCAGCAGAAATCCTCTACAAACACGTAACTTAGAAATATAAAATAGTTTTCTTGTTTATTTGCTTTGTAAAATTGAAGTAAGTATAGCAAAACCTACTAAAAAAAAAAACAAACTCAAAAAAAAACAATCCCACAACTTGTATTCTAGTGGGTCACAGTTGAGCAACATATCTTTTTTTTTTTTCCCTTTGAAGTCTAAAACATAAATACAAAGAATAGATGTTTAGGATAGAAATACTTATAAGTCCTTCAGCCTTTATAGTTATAATCATGCACAAGAAGGTACTATGACCAGATCTACCTCATTTATTCAAGTGTCTTTATCCGATAATAACATCCAAGAATAAATAAACTCTTGAAGAGTCAAATACGTTCCTTTCTTATTTCACCCACATTTGGAGTCACTTCACATACAAGTACACAGAAAGGAAACTCCACTAACAGACTATTTGCAGCAGAGCAGAAAGCAACTGTTAGATTTTTTTTTTTTTAAACTTTGTAGACATGATGGAGATGAGGCTACTGTAAACTGTTTTGTCTTGGACAGAATGAAGAGCCCAGCTCAAATAGGCTTTTGGAAAACTTTCACATGGACCATACATTTGGATGTGCAAGTGCATCTTTCCCTTTTATAACAACCCACCTATTTCCCGATGATGTTTTTTTTTTGGAAATAACGTTGTTGAGTTGCTTAAGTGTAAATTGATTTGGGGTTTATAAAAGGTACGCCACGGGTGCTGATGGCACATCAGTAAGAGAACACTAGACTCAGGTTCGGCTGCAGACAGAAAACTCATGATGGGACACGGCTGCACACAGTTCCACATCAAGCTCTGAAATTCTCTTTTCCTGTAACTTTACACTCCGCACATTATTATAAACTTCCCTCTCCCCTCTGCTTATATACCTTTTTCTGTGTGAAACTATTGTTACTTTGTGTGCAACCTGATTTCTTCGTAGCCCTGAAAGGTAGACCTCCAGGTCTGCAGCTGACTTCTGCCAAACCCCTGGAAAATAATTGCTGCGTGGCACTTACCTCTCCTTCTCTGGGCCACGGCCTTCCATTCTGTGTATATTTGCTTTGATTCTGGCGCTTCTTTTGCCCTCCATCAGCAAATTTGCACAGCAAAGGCTCAGTGGGGGCTGTGAAGACAAGAAACCCAGTCTATATTAGCATCCCCCCCAAAGAAAGTGATTATAGCAGCAACAGTAGTGCTTTGTAATACTGATCTTTTGAAGTAAAATCTTGCCTTCTGCAGATATTTTTTGCCTCTTTTAGCCTTGACTCTACTGGCAGCTGTTCTTACTAACTAAGCTTCAAAAAATATATACTGGCAGCCCTTAAAAGAATTTAGCAAATATTGTTGAAAAAATAATCAGCCTACGCAGAATGTTAAGTTACTGTAGTGGAATAGTAGAGTCAGGCATTAGTTCCAGCTAAGTTAGACACGTATTCATGATCAGCATTAGTGCAAGGATAAACACTGCTTTACTAAAGCAGATTTCTGTTTTTACTGTAAAAACTTTGCAAGAATCTGTTTAAGGAATAAGTGTTCTCACTATTTTTGTGTTTCTCGGCACACAATCCTTTAAAATTCTGAATAAACAGAATAAAGCAGAGACTTTTGCCAAGCACAGTCCAATTAGCTTTCTTTTCCTCTTAACTCCTCTTTTAAGCAAGTTGGCAGCTGGGAAAACCCTTTTCCTCTCCAACTTAGATCTGGTGTGTGTGAATACAATAGTCAGGGAGGCTGGAGCCCCAGGAAGAAAGGATATTCGGAGCACTACACACCCCAAAAGGCAGCTCACAATAGGGCCCCCTAGTGAAGAAATTATCACATGTCAAATGGGTACAACAGGAAGGGAACTTTGTGTCTTGGGATCTTTTCTCATTCACCCAGCTTTTAACAGCCTCCTAAAATATTTTTCTGCCAAAAAATTGTAATTAGCTTGCCAGTAGGAGCTTGCCTTTTCCTGCCTCTTTCTTAAAGGAGGGGCCAAATTCTAGCCCCTTCATTAGGTGTATGTCAAGACTGTTCTTTATTGCCTATGTCAACAGATAAGTTGACAATATTGGCTTGGTTGAAAGACATCTAAAAATGATGTGTCACATCTGAATTTTTTCAGGAATTTTTTCAGTTCTCAAGTATGAAAAGTAGAGGGTCCAGTTAATTAACTAGGAGTTTTGATGGAAAAAAAGAAAGAAACCTGTTTTTTTTCCTCCTCATTTCCTGTTTCTGGGAAGCTAGAAATGTTGAAAGAATAAGAGTGCAGGGACATGAAGGAAATGTTGCAGTAAGTCAAGTCAAGTTGCTGACTTCTTTATTTGTAATAAAAATAATGATTTAGTTAAAGGATGAAATAAGTTCATATAATATTAAAACAAGCTCACCTCCCCCAGTCTCTTAGTTATAGCCAGCTCAAAATGGCTATAAAGCATAGGTTAAAACTGTGATCACTTCAAAACTGCAACCAAGGAGCAATGCACATAGAGAATCTCACATCAAACTCACAATTTCTCATTGGGACAGCATCACTTTGGCTACTTCTGAAGCTTTAATGGCTTTGTTTTTTCATTACCGTTTTACCAGGCTAGTAATTTCCAAGGCCACTAGAAACTGAACTGCAGGGAACAATCCATTATTGGCAGAAAGCTCAACTGTGTGATCCCAGAGGTCCTTCCCCACCTCTGATTTCGATTATTGTATCAGATTTTGGTAGACGCAATGCTCAGCCAACCATCTGAAATTTAAAATAATGAAGGTTTAAAAGCATCCAGGTGGCTGTGGAGATTCTTTCTGCAGATGCAGAGATTTTACAGGGCCGACTGCCCTGCTTTTCACCAGTTTTCTCCACAGCGCAATGCTGTATGCTTTCAGAGCAGTTACTTACAGTTCACTTTGATGTGACTGTGAGGGAGGAGCAGGTGCTAAGCCAGCATTACAGAAAGACCTATTAAATGTCACATCTGAAGCTTCAAAAGCTTTTTGGTTTAAGCACTGAACAACTATCAAGCAACATATGATACCATTAGGAGCAGCGTGCAAAAACAATCTGCACGTTGGATATTTACACATGCCATGATCATCTGCGAATGTACACATGCGGTGTTAGCCCACATACTATGATGTGGCTGAGCAAGCTAGGAAGTCATATGGTTTACTACATATCCTCTGCATATATTAGCCAATCACAAATAGGAAGCTGTCGGTTTTCTGGACTTCCCAATATCCAGCATTACCATCTGATGACCTCTTACTTGTTAACTTGGGGCTTCCTAAATTTGACTGAAATCGAACAGAACTGCTGAACAACTTTACCCCACCCCACTTAGGTACCATGCCCTTCACAGGCAAGTTTCTGCACAGGAGTTATATTCCCCTACAGCAAACTGAGGGGAATTCTGGGGGAAAAGTCAATCCATGTTGATCAACATCAACGTAAGCAAAACGATCAAAAGAAAAGGTTCTGACAGGAAGACAGAGTCCAGATAAGATAGTTCGGGGTTGTTTGTGGTTTTTTTTTGAAAAACAGGCACATAGCATATTACATCCAGCAAGACAGAAAACTACCTTATTAGCTCTGAAGTAGTGTAGGTCTTAATGGTTTACACCTAGAAAAAACTATGATAACCAACCTCAAAATACGAAGAAATCATATTAATAATCTTTCTTCTTTCAGGACATAAGGTAGAGTGTAACAGCGTCTTAGGAGTTCAAACATGTTGCTCTAAGTAAACAAACAACTCAGATCTCTGGTTTACTTCAGTCCTCTTGAAATCCCTTGTAAGAAAGATTCTCTAGGCTTTGCAAGATCAGATGCACGTGAATATTTGACATTAGTACCATCATTCTTACGAATGGTTTCAGGAAATGCCAGAAGTGCTTTAAAAATAATAAATTTACTTCAGACAAGGAAAAAAAAATCACAATTAGGTACTATGGCTACCAATTCAAAAAGAAAATATTTAGGAACTATTCAAACAATATCAACGTTACGTCAATAATATCCAAGGGTTGCAGCAGAAGTGGGATATTTTACCTCCAAATACTTCAGAAGGGGAAGAAAGAAAAAAGGAATCTTTTAAACTTTTTCAGCTTTTCTCTCTTCTATTCCAGACAGACACTCTTCAATTCATGAACTGAATTTTTACTTTTCTCCTTTTCCTCTGTATGAACGCACCGATGGAAAATAAATGCCTGTGTCCCTGTCTCTTCTCTCACCTTTTGTACTGCTGACTTAATAGAAAATGTAATTTAGATATCTGTAGATGCTCATATTTTAAACCAATAAGCACATTTTTTTTTGTATGGTTCTTGACATCCTCAAAGTTTTGGGCATGTGTGGTATTTTGAAGCATATCTGAAAAATCTATTGTTGGTATTTTCCTGTCAGAAAAGTGAGAATTGATTCACTTGAGACAAATTTCAGGCTATTCCATTCTGATAAACTCTTCAAGATAGAAGGCACTGCTCTTTCTTTGACTTCTACCTGACAGTAACAAATAGAAATATCAAGAATAAATAACAGCTTTAACTTGAACAAGGTTCATTAAGCCATAACCCATTTTTCAAGGAGAAGATTTAAATGCTTGCTGTAGTTCCCATCCAAAGCCTGCTCTAGTTAATAAGATATAAATAGCCCTGAACTTGGCTTTCAGTCCTGAGAAGGAAGTGGGATCAAATTGATAGTGCTTCGAAACAGCATTTGCCAAGATATTCAGGGCTGTTTTAGGAGAGGGCAGTAGTTGCTAGTGTTCAAATTCTGTTCCCATGGAAGTCAATGGCTAAAGTCCTATCTCTCTTCAATCAGGCCCTGAATTTACTCTAGTAGTTCAGTGGAGGTGAAAGAGAGAAACTGGTTTTATGTCAATCAAGCCTGTCGATACTGTTGAAGTTCCCTTAGGAGATCAGCTTCTCATGCTCTGCTACTTTAGATGGACAGACTGTGCAGACAGAAGCACTGAACTGCCAAAAGGCTGCTATATCACCAAAAGCAACAGCGATATTTAAAATAGGACAAAACCTTTAGATGGAAAGAGATGGCGATAATAGTGTCCCTTCTCGAATCTGGCAGCTTCTTAGAAAGGTTCCATCTCAGGAAAGCAACTTCAATTAAATTGGAGAATTCAACAAAAAAAGCAAACTTCTAACTAGTTCTGAATACACAATTTCCTTATTCTTTCATTCATCAGAAGGCAGATACACTTGAGCTTCTACATATGCAAAAATGTATATATTCATGAGCATGTGCTCCATAAAGGAAGATGAAAGCTGTCATTTGCATTCAGAGAATCTTTTTCATTATTTCAGGTACTCTGAAACTTTTTCTGTCTTAAGAGTTACTGAGAGAAGCTTGTCCTCCACGACTTCCAATTCATAGTCATATAGCATCATCTGTCCAGCAATGGCAAGAATTACATATATAAAAATGTAGTAACAAGAATATATTTACGTATTTTAACTGCTTTCACTATGAATATTTTTGAAACCAGAATATTTTTCAGCATGTCAGGAAGAGTTTAATGTCTTTTTCTCATCTTTTGCAAAAATGACAGTAACATTTCCAGTAGACAGCCTAGCAACAAGTGCATTGTGAACATTCATGTGGGTCTTTAAACACCTTGATTTTGTTAATGTGAAGAAAAATGATGAGAAACTCATTGGTATATCAATGAATGGCCAGTGCACAGTCAATGATCTTTTTCAAAGTACGTTTTTATGAGAAAGGTAGATGAATTTATTTTTCAGCCTTGGCAAATGCTCTTTCACCATAAAAAATGAAGCAGAGCAATAATTGAGTTCACAATTACACCAAGCATCCAAATCGATCAAGCTTTGATAATTATTTTTCTTCTTAATTCCCTTCCACATATTAAGTATTTTCATAACATTTGCATATACAAATCACATAGAATATCTGATTGAAACATCCATGCAAGAACCAACCCCTTTGTCTGCCACAGAGCAATCATTCTTAATCTTTGAGAAAAACTTCATTCCATGGTAACATCAAAGCCACTTTGTAAGCAGACCTGTTTACTCATACAGTATTTCAGAGGTAGACATGAGAGATACAAAAGCTCGAGAAGCAAGGCAGGACAGAGCAAGTTAAAGTTCTGATCCTATACTTGAGACGGATGT